TGGGAATGCTATCCCCACGGGAATACTGTCCCCACTGGAACAGCCTTTTCTCTCTGTACCATTCCTTTTCCATGAGCATCAGAGCCCGGAACCGAAAGGGAAAGGAGTGGGAAAGGACTTGCCTATAATCACAGATGTCTAAGCATCATCAAGTGAAATCTGACCACATTCAGCTCTGGAGTTAACACCAAAGAGGAGGAGTTATCCCTCGTTTTCCATGTGCTTCCATTCAGCTAGTTAAAAACCCATGCTAGATAAAACCTTTGAAGAATTGTTCCTCTTTTTGTAGTAAAACACAACTATTACCCAAAGTTTCACCTGTTAGTTACATTTCTATCCCATAAATGCAACAGACAACTGGGAACAATGGGATAATACTCTAGGATACAACAACTAAGGTTTGTTCCGGGAAGGAAATCAAGGAAGCTGTGGGGTTTGGTTTGTTTGGGGGGATTTTTTACGCATTTTAATATATTTAACTCCTTACACTTTAGAAGAAGAAATAATTACCAAGTATTAATGTTTATATAAGATCCCAAGTCAGCAAAAAAAAAAAAGCTTCTGTAGAAAAGTATTAAGATTCCTAATAGTAAAAATATTTGCAAATTTCCTTACAAATACATTTCCAAGAGCAAAATCCTCAATGAAGTCCATCAGGGTTGGGGCAATATTGCCAGTGTTCCTGTAAGAGGGAGTGAAGGGAACACTCACTGCATCTAGAGGTGTTGAGTATATACACTTAGAGCTCCAACTATGTCATGGGGAGAAGGTGAAGCAGCAGTTAGATATATACACATGGGACCTATGGAAAGAGAAGGGAAAACATGAAGGTATTAGGTGCTGCTGATCTCATGCATTTGTTCTACAACTTGCCCTAAAATTTCATCCACTACGTCAATGTCATAGTTGACTTGCTGCAAGTCTAGGTCAGGCATGATGGTGGCCAAGAGTTGTCCAACGTTGACTCGAAGGGAGCGAAGTTTGAGGCTGTGGAGGAAGAATTAGGCAGGGTTAGATCAAGTTTTATCTTCAAACAACATATGCTCATCTAACAAAGCTGCACTGATACTTCACACTCTGGGTGTGACTCCCATAAACCACCCAAGAACCTGATTGCAGCAAAAGCTGCACCAAGATGGCTTCAAAATCTACTGATTTTTCAAAGCTGAGCCCCTCAAAGTTTCATTTTGAAGGTGTTTACTCAGAATTAGGATGGAAAAGACCTCTGAGAACACCGAGTCCAACCTGTGACCTAACACCACCCTTCACAGAATCATCAAGGTTGGAGAAGACCTCTAGCACCACCAAGTCCAATCATTAGCCTTAGTTTCAGACCAACACTAAGTGCTAAACTGAATTCACATCCAAAATATTCCCAAAAGTTTTTACCTGAGCAAATTAGCATTGGCACAATCCTCTATCCCAAATCACCTTTTAATTTCTCCAAACAATTTAAAACCTCAGGATATCGATACATTTAAAGCCACAAACTGCTCCCACCCATGGGAAGAAAAGGAGAGAAAAAGAAGAGAGGAGAAGGCAACAAAAAGGAGTTTTTCCAAAGGCTTTTGGAATATAAAGAGGAAACAAGGCTTATAGTCCAGGACAAGTGCTGTGCCTCCTCTTCTTGCTTTCTTTCCTGGATGCCCTTGCTCTGTCTTCTGCCTGATCCAGTTCCTTTCCCTGGGACATTTCCTACTCCTCTCAGTTCCTTTATTACTTCCAGATCTTTGCTAAATCTTTTAGTAAACACAAGGAAAATGAATGAGACACTGACAGGTAAGGAGAAGATTAAGCCACAATCAAAAAGAAGATGGAAAGGGATGTCTGGAAATGATCCAGCTCATCCTCCACTCCCTCTGCCATACATTCTCAACAGGGCTAACTTAGACCAGGTTGCTTAGGAAAATCTGGAGGTGGAGACTCCACAACTTCCCCACATCCCTTTCTGAGGGGTTGATTACCCTCACAGTGAAACCTTGTCTTCTCTGATATTGAAACAGAATTTCCCTGGTTGTACCTTGTGGCTGTTGTCTCTCATCACCATCTCTGTGTCCTTGAGAAGAGGCTGGCTCATCCCTACATCCTCTCCTCAGGCTGCAGAAGAGAGCAAGAGGATTCCAAGGTGACTCACTCTTTATAAGGCTCTT